CGAGAAATTCTTTTTTGTCAATATCGCACACCCCTACTGTAAACCTACTTTTTCGAACTCCTCCTCAAGCCTTCGTCCAATTTTCACCAAAATCGAGTCAAATCATCTTCAGACTGTGCTGACAAAATGATATGGATTTCGTGTTGATAGACGAAACCGTTTTCATACAGCGCTGCTACAAATTGTAGTTATGGTGCCAAAATGACTCTAAGGCTATATCTCTTCAAAGCTTTGACATAATGACAACAAACCTTGTATGTGCCATTGTCACCTCACACAGAACACACCAAAACGATTTGATTGCAGCGCCACCTGTTGGTCAAAACTGATAAGCCATTTAATCATATTACTAGTGGTTGTATTTATGATTTTTCAGCCATTTCACGAAACCGTTTTCGTACAGCGCTGCTACAAATTTTAGGCATGGTGCCAAAATGACTCTAAGGCTATATCTCTTCAAAGCTTTGACATAATGACAACAAACTTTGTGTGTGCCATTGTCACCTCACACAGAACACACCAAAATGATTTGATTACAGCGCCACCCGTTGGTCAAGAGTTATAAACCATTGATTCATTATTAATTATGAAATTTAAAAAAATGCTAATAACTTTTGATTGCATTAGCCTATTGCAATGAAATTGATATCAAAATATTCCGTGGCTTATGCCTACAACATAGATATCAAATATGCCAGAGTAAGCTGAACTTCCTGTCCGCCATTTTTATTTATATTGAAAACCTACTTTTTTTAACTCCTCGCCACTTGTTGGTCCGATTTTCACCAAAATCGAGTCAGATGATCTTCAGACTGTGATGACAAAGAGTTATGGATTTCGTGTCGATAAACTAAACCGTTTTTGTACAGCGCCACTACAAATTTTAGGCATAGTGCCAAACTGCATCTGAGGCTGTATCTCTGCAAATATTTGACATATTGACACCAAACTTTGTAAGTGCATTTGTCACCTCACACTGACCATGTCACATTAATTTGGTAACAGCGCCACCTATTGGTCAAAAGTGATAAGCCAATAAATCATATCACTAATGGTTGTATTTATGATTCTTCAGCCATTTCAATTACAATCATCCTAAAATTGCTTTTATTACTCGTTGCATTTGGTCTGATGCACCATGCCATGCTTAGCTTCTCAATTTGCCTGTGGAGTGCTTGGCCCCGTGATTGCTGCTTGCAGCTATATTCTTTTATTGTCACTAATTAAATTAAAAATGTTCTGGAAAATGATGATCACTGAAAAAGAGAGGGAACCCTGACACAGCCAAGTCCTGTTTAATAGCTCTTGCTGTGTTTGTGTAATCGGTGCCCAAGAAAGCTAATGTTTTTTCCTCACTGTTGTTTGACCGGCCTTCTCTGGACTGTGTCTAATGTATGAAGAGCTCTTGGCGGTTAGGAAGAACCAATGTGTTTTTTTCCCCATAGTTAATTTTTTTCTACCATTAATGGCTGCTGTTTATATTCTGGTTTGAAGATTAGTATCAGTGTTGGGAATCTACTTGATGTGCTGCAGTTTCCACACAGCAAAGCTAAAGTTTTATAGATATGACCACCAAATAAACCTTTTTTTATCCATTTCTAGACTATATATTATATTTTTTATTTATTTAGAATATACTAGTGGATGACCAAGTTTTGCAGTATATCAATGCCGATGTGTAGACACTACATGTAGACACTATTATAATTCACAATTTCTTTTGTCCATTTATAGTGGAATGAGGCGTTTTTGTTTCGAGCGTGAGGATGCTCATGCAAGTGAGGTCCATAAAGAAATCATTTATAAATGTATATGAACTCAAAGCCCAGGCCTGAATTCCATTGAACCTTTGGGATGAATTGGAACTGTAAGCTAGACCCCATCACCCAACATCAACGTATGACCTTTCTGAAAGAGAACAAATCCCTCCATCCACATTTCAACATCTTTCCAGAAAAGTAGAAGCTGTTATAGAAGCAAAAAGGGGAAAACTCCTTATTAATGCTCATGGGTTTGAAATGAAATAGTAAACAAGCAAAAATGGATGTGGTGTGTGGGTGTGGATATACTTTTGGCCACTTTTGACATATATATATTTATTTATTTATTTGTAATTTTATTTAAATCCAAAATACAATTTATATACAATAAATGCAGAATATTGACAAAATGAACGTTTTAATTTTACACAATATTTCTGCAAAAATTCACTCTAAAATATTAGACTACTGGACATTTACATTTCAGTCTAATTTCAGTTAATTGGTCGTTACAGTTATTGGCCAGTGCTGATAAAGTGAAAATATTAAAATGTCGTCTAATGCATTGCCTATCACTAGAATTTCCACGCGAGAACAGCAGATTAGTGTTGTTATACCTTGTTACCCATGTATATATGTGTAAAGCTTGTCCTTTTTATGCAGTAACCAAAAGATTGTTTTCTCATTTAGATTGGTCTACACTGATGTCATGGATTTACACTTGCTTATGTAGTTTTTCCCCTTCTGATTATATGAAGCTCAGTACAGACGTCTCTTCAAACCTATAGTTGAAATTCAGCAGTAGACATTTTGCTAATCTCGGTTCATTTCTCCTCATATATGGACTCAGAAATGCTGACACAACCTTTGTGTATTAGTTAGATTAAAACTGCTTTACACTGACAAGAACCGAGGCTAAACCACAGACAGCCATTATTGATGCTTACAATGATAGGAGCTTGTAGTTTCAGCATTTGCCATTTTCTCACAATGCTGCTCTTAAGAGCTTTTCTGTGAGAGGAAGAGACTCAATAGAAAAGCGTTCAACTTGGCTGTCCAGTTACAGTTGTTTAACAGTGTGCAAATTTGATTACTTATTTGTTTATTTACTGCTAACTAGAGATCGACCGATATATCGATTTACCGATATTTTAGCATTTTACAATAATCGGATATCGGTTTTGTAATATCGGATTCACCAATAAACGCCGCCATCTTGTGGATGTTTTGAGAATGCTAACCTCTGTTTTGTTTCCTCTTTACATCATTTGGGAAATTCATTACCCCTCTCTCTCTTTGTTTCAGTCAACACATATTTCTTCATGGTACAGGCTCAGGGTATCATGTTACGAGACAATGTGCGGACAATTGGTCACATGATCAGGCTATACACCAATAAGAACAGTACTCTGAACGGCACAGGTAAGAGTGAACGTCTCTTCATCTTAACATTGACCAGACTGATCTTTGAACTAAACACTATTGCAAAGGCCTGGTATACTTAAATTTTTATGTAGCACACCGTTAAACGTGCAAGTCTTTCAAAGTGTACACTATTAACCGTAAGCGTGGATGGACATGTTTGACAAGTGCACACTACCTAGTGGACTTTTGTTTTTGAGAGCACTGCTGTCCACACGGATACAAAAATCAATGAAAATCATGACAGAAACTACACCATGCTGACTGTTAATGAGCCGGAAGGGAAGTGTACTTTAAGCTTAATAGATCCTGTTTCTTGGCTTCAAAGTAAACGTGAAATCAATTTGACCTTATTTTCTCACTTAATGAATATCCCTGGTCTCACTGTGAACTATTCATCAATGTTGTTCCACTGCAAAAAAAATAAATACATAAATTTAATAACTTGGTATTCTTCTAAAACAAAAATTCTCTGGTGTCATAGACCGTACAGGCTGTTAAATGATCTTAACCAATAGCCAAAGAGCTCTTTAGACACTCTTATTCAGTCTCTGGCTTGATTCTTTTTTCACCGTCCAATCAATTCCCATTGGATAAAATCAAGTTAGGGCTGTGTTATTGGCATTTACTACACAGAGCCGTAGTTCACTGACAAGCTACACAAAATCGTGTTCAAAATCGCAGGCGATTCATTGCCGAGCATTTTTTCTCATCGAATACCATGTCACTGAAAAATAATTCACACTATGAAAATAAACTGGGAATAGCAATTCACATTGACTTTAATGTATATCTGTCTGTCTTTGTTGTAACAGATTATCCAGATGGAAATAACTCTAGTGAGTATATCGCTCAGCCAACCACATACCTCCCTGAGAACTTCACATATGCTCAGAACCTGCCCTGTCCCGAAAGGTTACCTTCTATGAGTAAGTTAAACAATGCATTTGTTTATTTGACTCAGAAATTCTTTGAATATAGTTTGGTGTTGCTAAGCTAATGATGCAATATTCAAATAAGTATACAAATACGCTAAAGGGCACACATTCTGGGTAAACTAGTTTGCTTGAATTAAACTGACCTTTTTGACTCTGAAATCGCATGCTTTCCTACTATATAGTAGATACAAACAGTATATGAAAAGACTAGTCTGTCTGAATTCACAGAATTCATAAAACAGTTTACAAAAAGTACTCAAATGATTACTATTACTATTTCTGATGAGATTTTGAAGTGTGCATCCAGTGGACACTTTACTATCCCATGAGGCCACAGAGAAGCGACGCAACTGACGTTTGTAGGTCACATGACGATGACAGCATGATGAATGTAGTATGTCTAGATTACATGCATGCTATATAGAACATCCTTTTTTAACAATCTTGAATTAATTACTTATTTATAGAAGTACCTACTCTGAGAACATGTGATTTCGGACCAACTTCTGTCTTTTCAGTATTGACATTTTTCATATTTCATTCGCCGTAAATGTGTTTTTTTTTTGTTTTTTTTTCCACTAAACTTGGTGCAGTTCATTATGGTATTGCCTTTCCTGTGAAGGATAAATCTGGTGCTCCTTTAGCTTTTGGCCAAAAGAAGGCATTATAAAGAGTCTTAAAAGGCAGCATAAAATGGCCTTTGTTTGTTGCATGTTGCCTCCCTAAAATCTCTCTATCCAATGAGCTTAATCTAGACTTCTCAGGTTTAAAATGCTCTGTATCTCATTTGTCTCAGTGTGAGGCACACTCACTTTTCATGCAAAAAAAAAAAGGCTTACTGATGTGGAGCTTTTTCAGCTTTGCCAGTTACAAGGAAATTTTATTCTCAATTTCTTTGCAAGTAACACCTGTTTTTGCTGTTTCTTGCTGTTGTATATTTCCTTGCAGAGGGTCAGATGGAAGTGAACATGACAGAGGTTCCTATGGAGGAAATCGAACTGAGGCTCAAAAATCTGGACATTCGATTTGGAGGCCACTGGAAGCCCAAAGATTGCAAACCACGCTGGAAGGTGTGTCACAGTCACGATTACATATTCAAAAAAAGGTCATTCAGGACATCAGCATGACTGGTTTTGTGGTTTTCTCTCTTGCTCTTTCTCAGGTGGCCATTTTAATCCCCTTTAGGAATCGCCATGAGCATCTTCCGATTCTCTTTCAGCACCTCGCCCCTATGCTTCAGCGCCAACGCTTGCAGTTTGCCTTTTATGCCATTGAACAGGTGTGCACGTACACTGTTTGATGCGATACCGCCATCCACTGATGGTCTACTTAGTAGTTTGTATTTGACCTCAGAGTGCCAGTATCATGTACCGATGATTGAGAAAATCAATCAACAATCATACATTTTTCAATCATGTGTTTATATGCTTTCAGACAGGTACTCAGCCGTTTAACCGTGCCATGCTGTTTAACGTGGGCTTTAAAGAGGCCATGAAAGACCTGGACTGGGACTGTGTGGTGTTTCACGACGTCGATCACATCCCAGAAAACGACCGTAATTATTACGGTTGTGGTCAGATGCCTCGACACTTCGCCGCCAAGCTTGACAAGTACATGTACATGTAAGTTATCAGAAAGCACTGATGCAGTTTTACTTTATTCTCTTTTTTATTTCATTAATTTACCCTCCCTTTTTTGTCATTTTTCTGATTGTTTAATGTTTATTTTCCTTATTGCCCAGCTCTTGGTGTTACAGATTTTGAATGCAGCTAAGTTGAGTTCAGTTTGTTTTCAAAGTGCGTATTTTAAACAATTTGAGGCTTGTGTTTTAAACGAGTCTAGTGTTATAGAGCACACATTGCCATGTTTAGGTTGTGTGTGTGAGTGTATAAACTGTTATGACGTTATCCACCGCCTGTAGACCCTTGCAGATCCTAATGTATATAACCAGTGTTTGTGTTTAGTTAGTTGGTTGGAGTGATTGTTGTGAGGTGCTATCTTTCTCATTTAATCTAAAATGAACCTATTCACTGAACCAAAGAGAAAAAAAAAATCTGTAATTTTCTAATTCATTCAACCAAAAACGGCATACATTTCAAAAACCTGTTGAAAATATAGTCAAGTATGTTTAAAGCTTAACCTTTAATGCCACCAAATAATGTGTTAAAATAGAGTTTCTCACTTTAATCTCGTTGCTTGCAAAAATAAATTGAATTAGTTAAGACAAAACTACAACCATGCTATACTTGTGCTGTTGAATATTCAGGGTAAATTTGCATTGATTTGAATGTGCTTTTTATTTGGCTATTGTGTTTCTCAAAGAAAAAGAGTGTGCCATTAAGCTTGTTTGGCCATCCTTGTCTCCATGCTTTCATGCCATAGTTGAGACTCTTTTTCTTTTTTTTTAACATTTTAAAGAAATGTTGAAACATTTCACTTTTCCTCATTCATCCAATCCATAATGTCTGTCTAAACCATTTTGATGGGCTTCAAGAAACCTAATGCAGGGTTTCCCATACATTGGTTTATTTGTGGCGGCCCATAGATTTTCCAAAAGACTTTGACTTCGTGGAATATACATGAGTACTGCACGTTTCAAAATCAAAACGTGGCACGGGTTATTTTATATAAATGTATCTTTAAAGGGAACCGATTGTCTTCAGAAAAGTTTTGATGTCATTTTCATTTCATCTTTCCTATAATGCCTTAAGTAGCGTTCATGAGCGCAGCTCTGCTTTGATTACAGCCGTTACCGGGGAAACCTCTATTTCTGCCGCTCCTAAAGCGCCTCCTGCTGGCAGAGAATGAATTTGTACTTTCAATAAGCCCGTCTGCTGTTTTATATTTACATTATATACATATATATTTCCCCCCGGGGGAAGTGCCGCCACACATAGAGTGTAAGTCTGTGGAAAACACTGCTAATGTGTCATTTTGTAGATTTTAAGGACCTGCAGAGTCCTACAGTTCCTTAAGTTCACGTCCTGCTGTATTGTATCTGCGTATCACATGTTTGTTAAAGTAAATGCAAGGGTATGGTTCATACTCACTTTTTTTCCTTTTTTTTCCCTCACAGCAGTTCATAGAACTCTGATGTTAGGTAGGACTGAAAGGCTTTAGGGGCATGCAGATTTTAGGGCTCTTTGTTATGCAGATTATGTCATTTGTGTAATGAGGTGTAAACACAGCTCTAATTGCTTCTCAAAAGTGTTTGAGGTAGTTGGAGAATTTACCCTTATTTTGCATGTGACCAAGGACTGATTAAAGACCCCGTGGTGCAGCTTTGCTTTGGTTGAGTTTGAAAGGACGGTTGTTCATTTCTGGTTGAAACCAAAACTGTTTTGCGGAAACTGCAAGGAAGTAACTGTGTGCTGTACATCCTTGTCGCCTTGTGAAGTAGTCTGACAGTCTGTACTATTAAAAGACTTTTTTGTTGCCTATTGCTTTCAAGTGATTCCTGATGGTAAGGTTTATGTTTCTTCTTTTTATTTTCCCCGTTTCCTTTTTTTTAAAGAATGTTTTACAAATGATGGCATATTTGTAGTTTAGTTTGCTAAGTGTTGAGTGTTTGTGTTTTCAGTCTTCCCTATAATGAGTTTTTTGGTGGAGTCAGTGGACTTACTGTCGAACAATTCCTCAAGATCAATGGCTTTCCTAATGCATTCTGGGGCTGGGGCGGAGAGGACGATGACCTCTGGAACAGGTCAGTTTTGTTTAATTAGTAGTATGTGTGTATTCCTGAGACCAGCATAACAAGTATTTCATAACTATCCAGTTACTTTTGTATAACGAACAGTTCACCATGATGCTGTGTGTGACTGAAGTATGTTATCATAAACAAATAGATGTATGTGTAACACAAATGTGTGTGTGGGTGGGTTTCTTGTTCTCAGGGTTCATTACGCAGGTTTCAGTGTGACCAGGCCAGAAGGTGATATTGGGAAATACAAATCTATCCCCCATCACCACAGAGGAGAGGTGCAGTTCCTGGGGAGGTCAGTGTGCACACATACGTGAACACTAGTGGTGGGTTATACGTGCAGAAATTTGTACTAATATATTAACTAATGTACATTGCTGTTGAGATAAGAGTATGTTTGTACTCATATTCATGGCACTAGTCCAGGTTTGGCTCAACCATGCAAAAGACACACATCTTATGTCTTAGATAGTCAGAGTTTAGAAGTTGCTTTTGGAAGGGTTGGATTTAAAACATTTCAGTTGATTCTTTCAATCAAAAAGAATCGATGCATTAAACGATGCATTAAATTGATGGCACAGATTTATACTTTGTTAGAAAAATATATTTCAAATAAATGCTATTTCTATTAACTTTTTAAATAATCCTGAAAAGAAGTATATTATGATTTCCACAAAATATTAAGCATTTAATTAACTGTATATTGTTTTCATATCAGCATATTAGAATGATGTCTGAAGGATTCTCAAGGAAAAGCTTCTTAAATTTTTATATTATTTTACAATATTACTGTTTTCACTGTGTTTTTAATCAAATAAATGCAGCCTTGTTTAAAAAAAGAGACTTCTTTAAAAAAATGTTTCTAAAAAATCCAACAAACCACAAACGTTTGAACAGTAGTGTAATGTTATTCAGTTATCCCAAATTATGTCCAAAATAGAAGCCTTTTTTTGTACAGGCATTGTAGTAACATCAAAACAGATGTATTAGAAATAAGTCTTAATTAAAAAGTACTGTTATTACAAAAGATAATATTATTACCTTTTTTTTTTTTTCCAAACAGAAAATTAGTCTAGTCTTTTCCATTGTTTCTGAAGCAAACCTTTCCATTCTATTTCTTTTTGTGCCAATTTAATGTTTTCTATGAAATTTTTGATGACATAGGAGACTTTTGTTGGCTAGGTTTTGTTACTAATTCCAGCTGCACTGTCAATCCAAATGTTATTTCTTCTTTTTTCTTTTTTTAACATTGTTTATTGGGTTTTTCCAAGTTAAACACAACATATTAAATACAGAATAATCTGAATAGATCATTCCAAATGTTATTTCTCAAGGTAATTCATTCAGTGCGATTGCTTCTCTCTACGTGTCTTCAGTCTCCCTTGCAGGGTGGAAATGTGTAGATTTGCAGGGTGGAAAATGGCTTTCTTGTCACTGCACTGTTCAATCTTTACCTCTGACCTGCTTACACTTGACCTGACCTTAAACAAAAGTTGTATTCATCTGTTTCTGTGTAACCCAGAGTGGATTGACCTACGTGTGACAAAAACATATTTGCGGTCATACATGTATAGATCGTTGCATATTGTAACAGATTATCTCAAGGACACACTACCCCCTGGTTCATCTCGCCCTCCCCTCAGGTATAAGTTGCTGAGGTACTCTAAAGAACGACAGCATCTGGACGGCTTGAACAATCTGCAGTACTCTCCGGAGATCTCTCTGAGCAGCCTGTATAAGAACATCACGGTCAATCTGAATCCCGAGCTAGCCCCCATAGCAGAGTACTGAGTCAAAAAAATGTGATGTATCGATGCCAAATGCCCTTAAAAACAGGAGCGAGGAGGGCAGAGGCCTGTCTAATGCACAGTTAGTTGCGTGACGTGAGTGTGCGTATGTACTGGATCATATCTGTGAAAGTGTATTAGCGTGACTGCGTGCGTTTAATTGCATGTTCCTATGTCCATGCTGGCTTTAGCGAATCAGATCACAACACATTTCAAAAAAGGTGGGGAGTGCCAGCGTCAACAAATCAGATGTTTACTGCGAAGCCTTAATTGACTTTTGTAGGCTATCAAACTCTGTAGATCCAGTCATCTGTGCTTACATTGTAGAAAGCTTGGTTTTACATTGCAACAGCACTCTTGATGCCAATAGACGTTTTGTCATGTTCTGTTAGTATAATTTTTTTTATACATACGTCGTTTTTTTTTTTTTAAAGAGACGATTGTTTAGAAGACGTCAATGCAGTTTAAATGGATATTTCAAATCTGTCCTTCACTTCAGATCGTTTTGTTCTTGTATTACGATATACATTTCACCTTGGTGGTGTGTTACGGGTTTTGTTTCCCCAAATCCCATGGCTATACAGAAGGCTGTGACAAGTTGCATGCATGACCCAGACTCCCCTGTAAATATCTGGCCTTTTTTAACTATGCTTTAGCTTTGTCCCCCAAAAGACGCCTGTGATTCCAGTGGAAACACTCTTCTTTTTGGCAGCTATTTGTTGTTTTGGATTTCTGTTAATTTTATTCATTTTTAATATATATATTTTTTTATCTTCAATGGTTTGGGACACATGACCAATGGACAAAAATATCAGCGATGACTATAGAATGCAGGAAAACTAATCAAAAATGACATACATATATCAGTACTTGCTGCATGCCTTAATTTATTTTTTGTTACGCGAATATTTTGTTTCTTAAACTTTTATTTTTAGTCATATTGAATGTTTTTTTTTTTTTAGTTAAGACAAAACTACAACCATGCTATACTTGTGCTGTTGAATATTCAGGGTAAATTTGCATTGATTTGAATGTGCTTTTTATTTGGCTATTGTGTTTCTCAAAGAAAAAGAGTGTGCCATTAAGCTTGTTTGGCCATCCTTGTCTCCATGCTTTCATGCCATAGTTGAGACTCTTTTTCTTTTTTTTTAACATTTTAAAGAAATGTTGAAACATTTCACTTTTCCTCATTCATCCAATCCATAATGTCTGTCTAAACCATTTTGATGGGCTTCAAGAAACCTAATGCAGGGTTTCCCATACATTGGTTTATTTGTGGCGGCCCATAGATTTTCCAAAAGACTTTGACTTCGTGGAATATACATGAGTACTGCACGTTTCAAAATCAAAACGTGGCACGGGTTATTTTATATAAATGTATCTTTAAAGGGAACCGATTGTCTTCAGAAAAGTTTTGATGTCATTTTCATTTCATCTTTCCTATAATGCCTTAAGTAGCGTTCATGAGCGCAGCTCTGCTTTGATTACAGCCGTTACCGGGGAAACCTCTATTTCTGCCGCTCCTAAAGCGCCTCCTGCTGGCAGAGAATGAATGTGCATTTTCAATAAGCCCGTCTTATTTGTGCAGTTTACATTATATACATATATATTTCCCCCCGGGGGAAGTGCCGCCACACATAGAGTGTAAGTCTGTGGAAAACACTGCTAATGTGTCATTTTGTAGATTTTAAGGACCTGCAGAGTCCTACAGTTCCTTAAGTTCACGTCCTGCTGTATTGTATCTGCGTATCACATGTTTGTTAAAGTAAATGCAAGGGTATGGTTCATACTCACTTTTTTTCCTTTTTTTTCCCTCACAGCAGTTCATAGAACTCTGATGTTAGGTAGGACTGAAAGGCTTTAGGGGCATGCAGATTTTAGGGCTCTTTGTTATGCAGATTATGTCATTTGTGTAATGAGGTGTAAACACAGCTCTAATTGCTTCTCAAAAGTGTTTGAGGTAGTTGGAGAATTTACCCTTATTTTGCATGTGACCAAGGACTGATTAAAGACCCCGTGGTGCAGCTTTGCTTTGGTTGAGTTTGAAAGGACGGTTGTTCATTTCTGGTTGAAACCAAAACTGTTTTGCGGAAACTGCAAGGAAGTAACTGTGTGCTGTACATCCTTGTCGCCTTGTGAAGTAGTCTGACAGTCTGTACTATTAAAAGACTTTTTTGTTGCCTATTGCTTTCAAGTGATTCCTGATGGTAAGGTTTATGTTTCTTCTTTTTATTTTCCCCGTTTCCTTTTTTTTAAAGAATGTTTTACAAATGATGGCATATTTGTAGTTTAGTTTGCTAAGTGTTGAGTGTTTGTGTTTTCAGTCTTCCCTATAATGAGTTTTTTGGTGGAGTCAGTGGACTTACTGTCGAACAATTCCTCAAGATCAATGGCTTTCCTAATGCATTCTGGGGCTGGGGCGGAGAGGACGATGACCTCTGGAACAGGTCAGTTTTGTTTAATTAGTAGTATGTGTGTATTCCTGAGACCAGCATAACAAGTATTTCATAACTATCCAGTTACTTTTGTATAACGAACAGTTCACCATGATGCTGTGTGTGACTGAAGTATGTTATCATAAACAAATAGATGTATGTGTAACACAAATGTGTGTGTGGGTGGGTTTCTTGTTCTCAGGGTTCATTACGCAGGTTTCAGTGTGACCAGGCCAGAAGGTGATATTGGGAAATACAAATCTATCCCCCATCACCACAGAGGAGAGGTGCAATTCCTGGGGAGGTCAGTGTGCACACATACGTGAACACTAGTGGTGGGTTATACGTGCAGAAATTTGTACTAATATATTAACTAATGTACATTGCTGTTGAGATAAGAGTATGTTTGTACTCATATTCATGGCACTAGTCCAGGTTTGGCTCAACCATGCAAAAGACACACATCTTATGTCTTAGATAGTCAGAGTTTAGAAGTTGCTTTTGGAAGGGTTGGATTTAAAACATTTCAGTTGATTCTTTCAATCAAAAAGAATCGATGCATTAAACGATGCATTAAATTGATGGCACAGATTTATACTTTGTTAGAAAAATATATTTCAAATAAATGCTATTTCTATTAACTTTTTAAATAATCCTGAAAAGAAGTATATTATGATTTCCACAAAATATTAAGCATTTAATTAACTGTATATTGTTTTCATATCAGCATATTAGAATGATGTCTGAAGGATTCTCAAGGAAAAGCTTCTTAAATTTTTATATTATTTTACAATATTACTGTTTTCACTGTGTTTTTAATCAAATAAATGCAGCCTTGTTTAAAAAAAGAGACTTCTTTAAAAAAATGTTTCTAAAAAATCCAACAAACCACAAACGTTTGAACAGTAGTGTAATGTTATTCAGTTATCCCAAATTATGTCCAAAATAGAAGCCTTTTTTTGTACAGGCATTGTAGTAACATCAAAACAGATGTATTAGAAATAAGTCTTAATTAAAAAGTACTGTTATTACAAAAGATAATATTATTACCTTTTTTTTTTTTTCCAAACAGAAAATTAGTCTAGTCTTTTCCATTGTTTCTGAAGCAAACCTTTCCATTCTATTTCTTTTTGTGCCAATTTAATGTTTTCTATGAAATTTTTGATGACATAGGAGACTTTTGTTGGCTAGGTTTTGTTACTAATTCCAGCTGCACTGTCAATCCAAATGTTATTTCTTCTTTTTTCTTTTTTTAACATTGTTTATTGGGTTTTTCCAAGTTAAACACAACATATTAAATACAGAATAATCTGAATAGATCATTCCAAATGTTATTTCTCAAGGTAATTCATTCAGTGCGATTGCTTCTCTCTACGTGTCTTCAGTCTCCCTTGCAGGGTGGAAATGTGTAGATTTGCAGGGTGGAAAATGGCTTTCTTGTCACTGCACTGTTCAATCTTTACCTCTGACCTGCTTACACTTGACCTGACCTTAAACAAAAGTTGTATTCATCTGTTTCTGTGTAACCCAGAGTGGATTGACCTACGTGTGACAAAAACATATTTGCGGTCATACATGTATAGATCGTTGCATATTGTAACAGATTATCTCAAGGACACACTAACCCCTGGTTCATCTCGCCCTCTCCTCAGGTATAAGTTGCTGAGGTACTCTAAAGAACGACAGCATCTGGACGGCTTGAACAATCTGCAGTACTCTCCGGAGATCTCTCTGAACAGCCTGTATAAGAACATCACGGTCAATCTGAATCCCGAGCTAGCCCCCATAGCAGAGTACTGAGTCAAAAAAATGTGATGTATCGATGCCAAATGCCCTTAAAAACAGGAGCGAGGAGGGCAGAGGCCTGTCTAATGCACAGTTAGTTGCGTGACGTGAGTGTGCGTATGTACTGGATCATATCTGTGAAAGTGTATTAGCGTGACTGCGTGCGTTTAATTGCATGTTCCTATGTCCATGCTGGCTTTAGCGAATCAGATCACAACACATTTCAAAAAAGGTGGGGAGTGCCAGCGTCAACAAATCAGATGTTTACTGCGAAGCCTTAATTGACTTTTGTAGGCTATCAAACTCTGTAGATCCAGTCATCTGTGCTTACATTGTAGAAAGCTTGGTTTTACATTGCAACAGCACTCTTGACGCCAATAGACGTTTTGTCATGTTCTGTTAGTATAATTTTTTTTATACATACGTCGTTTTTTTTTTTTTAAAGAGACGATTGTTTAGAAGACGTCAATGCAGTTTAAATGGATATTTCAAATCTGTCCTTCACTTCAGATCGTTTTGTTCTTGTATTACGATATACATTTCACCTTGGTGGTGTGTTACGGGTTTTGTTTCCCCAAATCCCATGGCTATACAGAAGGCTGTGACAAGTTGCATGCATGACCCAGACTCCCCTGTAAATATCTGGCCTTTTTTAACTATGCTTTAGCTTTGTCCCCCAAAAGACGCCTGTGATTCCAGTGGAAACACTCTTCTTTTTGGCAGCTATTTGTTGTTTTGGATTTCTGTTAATTTTATTCATTTTTAATATATATATTTTTTTATCTTCAATGGTTTGGGACACATGACCAATGGACAAAAATATCAGCGATGACTATAGAATGCAGGAAAACTAATCAAAAATGACATACATATATCAGTACTTGCTGCATGCCTTAATTTATTTTTTGTTACGCGAATATTTTGTTTCTTAAACTTTTATTTTTAGTCATATTGAATGTTTTTTTTTTTTTTGTCGTCTTCACTTTTGTTAATAGCATAATCATTCACATGTCTCGCTTTTAAAGTGCACTCCACGGTAGTGAAAGAAGATGTGATTGAAACGATAGCGAGGTGTTTACGAGACGCAGGAAGACCCTGGCGGTCAGTCGGGTTCGCAGCTGCTAAAGCCAAAACGCCCTTTGCAGGGTTTGGCGTGTGTCTCAACCTGTGTGTTTTTGTCTGTTTATGTGTGTAGTGAAGGACGGGGTGACGTTGCGCTCCGATAAGGCCGAGATGAGAGAGCGATGTCGCCGTTGCTCTTGAATGGCATCCGGAGTACACTTGGGCCATGACGACTTTATGCTGTTAAGTTTCGAGCATTACAAGCTGTTGGAAAACTTTTTGTTGGTCCATGTTTGCCTTTTGTATGTAATTTACATTTTTTGGAGTTGTCGATATAACATGTCGCATTTATTTTTTGTGTATATTTTAACTTATCATATAAATGTCCTAAAACTGCTGTTTCATATCCTCTCATGCTGTCTGTGTGTGTGTGTCCATTCGGAGAATTACACATTGAGGGCGAGATTGTGTCAGCAGCATAGTTTGCGACACAAACTGCGCTTTGTGACTCTTGAAGTTAAGACACTCACAGTTCACAGAAATGCTTCACTCCGCTCTTTCCATCTGCGTGTCTCTGAGGTGTGGTTGAGCCATGGCTTCTCTTTGGTCGTCCGATTGCTTTGTGGACGTCGTCTTAACACTAGTATGGTCTTCTCCCATTGATGGTGTCCCCGACGTGATCTCCAGTGCCCAGTCTGTTGTTTACAGTCTTTTCTTATACCATCAGACTTACAGTTGGGTCTGAAAAGACCTGTTTACTGTGGTTACGAGTTACAAAAAAACATTTGACCAATTCAGACTAGGAATCAAAGAATGCTGTCATATAATATACTGAATATGATATGGAGGCTACTGCTGCCAAAGTATGCTTTTCCTCTTCCTCGTCCCTTTCGCTCTCCTCATCTTTCAGCATTGTATAGTGAAATGTAGCTCTAGGACATCTGCTCAATCTAAATTTTTCGATCCAGTCTCACTGAGTGTGTTATTCAAGTGAGTTTGTGTGTATGTGGTATCACATTCATGTGCAGTCCAGTGTGAGAGGATTGCTGTAGAATGACGTGAAACGCAACTGAAAAACCCCTCATCTCCCTTTTCCGCCGCACAGGGCCAACAAATTAACATAAGCAATGTTGGCGGCAAGCTGTTGGTTTATGCCCTGTGTTCGTGTTGAAGCAGCCGGTGAGATATAAACACTTGATAGGTGTTGTTTAATGTAAAAATAGAGGCATTTTAGACTGGGTTTAGGCTTTTGAAGAGAGAAGTGTGGCTTATGAGCACTAGTTTCTAAAATGCTCAAATGAGTGTCATTCCGCCTCCACAGTGCACTGTTTTCTTGTTTTGCAGGCACTTTAATGGAGTAATGATTAGTGTTACGCTGCAATACGAAGTCAGATAGGCCTGTTACGAATTAATCATTAGCTTTTGCACACTAGCGAAATGGTTTTATTTGGAACACAGATTGGGACTGAAAGTTACACATTGTTCTTAAAGTAAGGTGGGTTGCAATATGAAAACTGAATGTTAAGTTGATTTTTATTTTACTTTTCTTTTTTTTTTTTTTTGTGGTGGTGTAATGCCCCGTTCCTGATATGAAGAGTGTGTTTGTGTGTGTGTGTGTGTTTTTTTTATTTGTATTTTTTTTATGTAAAACATACCGGTGAGACTGCTCTGGTGTGTTTGGATCTGGTGGTTAGTCAGTCGTAGCTTTTGAGAAGCTTTGTTCAGTGCTGTCTGCTAATTTAGATTCATTCTCATCTCATTTTTCACCCCAAACCCACCCCTCTCATAGCTGCCCCACCCTGTTCAGCTGTCTGAAAATATCCAGAAGAAATAATAGATAGAGAATTTTAAAAGATGATTTATTTACCATTACGGATCTGTAATGTGTAGAGTGTTACATTGTTGCAGTATTCATATTTGTGCCTTGATTTTTTTTTTAATTTTTCAATTTCGCATTGTTGAGATGTGCAGTGGGGTGCGTGTGGATGGTGTTTAAAAATTAAACTGGGTGCACATTTACATGTTCTTTTACTCAATTTTGTTTTTATTTCAAACTGGAGCTGTGACTTTAAAACTGAAATGTCTGCTGGTTGTTGAATGGGAACTGAAAAACATGAGGATCTTCTGCTGTGTTTGAGTTTCTCCGGTGTTGAGGGTCCACTTTAACTGTAACACCAGTACGAGAAGCAGAATGTCTTGAGATGCCAGCTGCTTTGACTGACATGTACAATCCTGGTTCCAGATTTTGTTTTGTTTTTGTTGTTGAACCAGTCTATTCACTGCGTTTCGCTCTGTAATGATCATTAAACGACTTTATAGTTGAAAACTTGTTCAGAGTCTGATCTCTTTAATTGGTCTGAGGGAGAACGGGTATAATCAAGGTCCAAAATTAACACTTGCCAAGCACCAAAATGCAAGTTAGAACTGGCTTTGGTGAATAACTGTAGCATAACACATGGTTTAAGTCGAAGTGAATAACTGTCAGATTCTTGATGATGCGATTAGTGTGTGTGAATCAAATATCTTACGTATACCATACAAATGATTTGGTAATGTGAATTAAAGCCTTTGTGTAATACATTATAAAGGTATTCATAATGTTGGTTATAATGCATTATATCTTTTCATAAATGCAAAATGCATTATATGATGGCATGTGTTTAATGCATTGTACTTTTTAAAGGTGTAACAATAAATAGATGTGTTTGTGTGGTAATGTACATAATGTATTATAACTTTGGTTACAATTATTCATGAGATAATACAATGCATCATAAGGTGCATCACAAGGCATAGTACTACTATTAAAATACATAATATTTGAAGTAAAGTGTTACCAATGATTTTAAAACAGATTTTTTAAATACATGAAAACTATTACAAAACAATGCAAAAAAAATAAAATAATGGCTAGTTAGTAATTTATATATATATATAAAGTTCACAATTTGTGTTTTTAATGTATTTTGAACACACAAATGCAGCTTTGGTGAGCATACGAGACTTCATTCAAAAACATTTAAAAATCGTAATGTTGTAAAGCACTTTTGGCAGGATATTGACTTTGTGAGTTTTAGCAATCAATCTGGCATTGCAAGGTGTGGCAAATTCTAAATCTTGGACCTTGGATGAAAAGTAATTTCTCTGTGTAGATTGTCGCTGTAGATCTGTTGTGTGCTGTCACTCATGTGCTTTGACGACCACAGCTGTTGTGGTGTAAGAGAAGGGGCTCAGAAGAAGAGCCAGAGTGTAATGACGATGCCCCTCTGCATGAGCCTCAAACACCACCTGCAAAAACGCCAAAGAACCACTGAGAAATACAAACCGTATCTGGAAGACTGTGTCTTTACATATGTGTATATCTGTCAGTGCCTGTGTGCTCAGTTTGTGTTGTCCTTGAATGCTCTGTCCTCTTATCTAAAACTGTCCATTACTGTGTGTCAATAGAAAACAAGATACAGGTTCTTAAATATTTACCTCCCCACAGTTAATATAGCTCTTGGTTCACATCCAAGACAATCATTCAGGGTTTTAATATACACATATTTGCTGCAAAAACAGCCTTATGCAAGTCTAGTAGGTAGCTGTTATAAATAATAATAATCAAAGTAGCCTCAGCTCATCCTAATGAGGGGACTATGTGCAGTCCTGTGGTTTAGGAGCCTTGATACAACAATAAACCATCACTTGGCAACCATTAAATGCTCATGTCAAAGTGCTACTTACATCGGCCAGCTGGTGGAAAGGTGTACGGCCCTCTGCTTTCCAGTAGGCTTTAGTGTCAAACTGCACCCGATACATGCCAGGAGTGAACTCCTGCTCGGTGATCAAGTTGTGCACCTCACCAGACATATCCACTTTCCTGTGTGAGAGGAAGAGCTCATTAATGATAATGGAACTGACAGGAAAGAGGAACCATGAGGATGTGACTAAAAATGAAGTGCAGAATAGAGAATAGAGCCGTTTGCCCTACAAAGACACAACCACAGTAATGCCAGCATTAAAACTGAAACTATTATTTTTTTTATACAAAAATAAATAATAAAAATGCTTTACTGTTTCCTATAAATTTGTATGATTTCAGGACAAATCATACTATTAATCAGTGTTATTTTAGTATCATTCATGTACTATAGTTTTTGTTAACATTTTTTTAATTAGATTGTATTTATATATTTTCTGTTCTCGCTTTAATTTTAAAGTTTTTGTAATTTTGTTGTAGTTTTAGTTTATTTACTTTGTTATTTTAGTACTTCAACAAACTAAACAAATAATGTCTTAACAACTAACTGAAATTTTTAACTTTTAACTTAACAATTTTTAATTATTTTATTTTTATTTTGGCCAGAGAGACCATTAGCCCATTTTAACAGTTCCGTATATATTGTCATTGAAGTATCAGGTAAATATTTGGCTTTATTGACTTATGCTTATCCATACAATTATTATAATCATCATATGATTCTTAATAATATTTATTAGAAAATCCTTCATGAATTGTTTTTTTACATTATTGTCGCATAGACCCGGGGTAACATGAATAGTGCAATGAATAAAGCATTGAATTGTAATATTTTATAAATCTCTGATTCAAAATGTCATTGCTGAGGTCAAATTGAGCCCAAACAGAATGAACATTAATACTGAATTACTAGATAGCGTTCACACTTAAAGTCATCCACTGGGATCTAATTAGCTGAGATGAAAAATCTGAAATGTTATTAACTAATGTTCAATATAATTATATACTTGAATCAAAGGTCTCTATAGAGTGTGACGGCTAATGTGATCTTACCCACTGGCAATCTTTTCCCATGTCCCACCTTGATCTTGGCGATAGACATCCAGAGCTACGTTTCCAGCGGGAGTCCCTTTCACAGCATCCAGGATCTTCACTCTCAGAGGGCAGAGAACATCTGAACCACCATGAAAAGCCTGGAACACAGTCAATGTGTATAGAAATGCTCCTTGTCCTGGAAATTGTGCTTGAAATGATCTTGTCTTAAGCTCAATCGCTTGTTGTATTCCTTATTAGTAAGGAAGCAGTATTACTGCTAAATAGAAATAATGGAAGCAGCTGTATCAGCTCTGAGCCGTTTGTTGGGTCAGTGACCATCTGGACGTACAGCTGTGTATATGTGTGTTTTCCAAGTATAGAGTTTACTGCAGCACTTTGTAGTATGGCAGAGTGCAGATAACATTGCGACCCATATGTCAGTCTGTCCAGCAACTGAAAGTACCTTGTCTCACCCAGAAGGGGCCAACTTAGGGGACATTTTAGCTTTCATATACATTTTATAGATTTTGTGTCACTGCCAAGTTAAAACCAGTTAAACTCTGCGGACCCGGATACGGGTCCAAAATGACGTTAAAAATGTTTATGCTTAATTTACATAGCCTTCCTTATATGGTATCAGCCCATATACAGTGGGTACGGAAAGTATTCAGACCCCCTTCAATTTTTCACTCTTTGTTATATTGCAGCCATTTGCTTTTGTGTTTATAGTAATATTTGAAAAGTATATCATGTTATTTATAAAGAATTACACTCATATTTTGTAGTTCAAAGGGTTTTCTTTACAATGAAGCCATTTTTTTTAATTTCCTCCATTGTATGTGTGCAGGGTAAACATTTGAATTTGAGTATGTTAAATTTAGGCGAAAATACCAAAAAACGCCCCGAGCTTAAGTGGTTAAATATAAAAGGTGCTGTAAGAGATTTCAGCCGGTTCAATTCACACACTCTCTCCAAAATTCACCCCTCCAAAGACCTGAACATGCAAAATCTAACAGAAAGCTATTCTGATTGGCTAGGTTTCTTATTCTTAAGAACCTAATCTGGAATTTATTTTTTTTTGCTGTATGCACAGCATACGGCTGACAGGCAGACAGGTGTGATATCTCTCAGATAATGGACACTTTTCACCGTTTCGTGATTCTCAGAAGCAGAAGCTGTCATAGTTGGGTAAACTTCTACAGTGCATTTCTATGACAAAAGAGTGAGGAAATATAGAGATTGGTCAAATTTGCCTTCCCTCACTCAGCCATTCTATTTAAAATGCTCACACAGCAGCATTAACTAGTTTTCTGCAATTTAATGCCAATACAACACAAAGCACTTAAAAAAAAAAATATATATAAAAAAACTTTAATAGATTTACGATGTTAATAATTATGGAAACACGTCAAGGGTCCATAGTGGCATTTTGGGGCATATATATATATGCAGTTTACACAGTTATAACTCTTCATGACATAATTCATGACATACAGAGAATGCATACAATAGCACTTGCTCTTAGCATCAAACAGATTGCTTTAATGAATTAAAAATATGTAAGTTTCTGTTATGTAACTCTATTCTATACAACAAGTAATTGAACTTACCACTGGTGCAGATCTACAGCAGGCAAACAGAGATGCAAGAAGCGCACAAATCACTGCTTTAGCCATGATAGAGCACAACTGCATGAGTTAACACCAAAAATGCCCTTTATACAGCTGCCGACCCTGTCATCAGGTGACTCGAGGGGTATCTGCGGTGTCCTGTTGACACAGTAAATAAACAGGGGAATCAGTAACTGCATACAATTTGGTTTATCCAGTGGAAACAATCAAGGGCACTTGCCCGTATATATTAAACAGCCCTCCTGTCCTTGGAATTTGTGCATTTCATGAATGTTAACTCCCAAATTTCCTCCACTCTGTGTGAGATCTGATTCATTGCTTGTTTACTTTCTGAGGACCTTAGTTCAGGCTCACTAGTGAACAATTTCTCGGCAACACAAATTTGAAGGGTCTGAGCTATTATTGACAGTTCAAAGAAAAGTGTACAGTTATCCCTTGAGAGGCGGGTACGTGCTTGTTTTTCACATATTTTCATGTGCTAGCTGTCTTGCTAAAGGCATGTAATCCCTAAGTGGAGAACAGCAGAATTCTTTTACTTGGGAATAGATTCATAACAGGCCCATGGTTGGGTCATACAGAAGTCATACAGTCTCATTATTGTTTTATTCTTCTAAACAAAATTTACATTATTTCGGCACAGCAAGGTGGAAAGGAAAAGGTATATATGTATATATATATATATATATATATATATGT